AAAAATTGCACAAGCACAATTGAATTCGTTCGGAAAAGGATTTAACATACCATTCCGCTGCTGGGACCAACAAAAACCCACTGAAGCGCACCACTATAGAGGGGCATCGATGGGAGAGTGCCGTGGGGACGGGCCATGCAAATAGCAAGGAACCAGGACACAAGACACGGCACACGGCACACGGCTGCACGTTATGAGACAAGAGAGACAGGACACACAGACCGACCGAGCGAACAAAGCTAAGGCGCTTACAGCTACAGCTACAGCCAGAAGAAGTGCTCTCTCCTTCTCTACATCGAAGACGATGCTCAATATGCTCGAATGCCGTTTGCATTTGGGGCGAAAGACAATGGGTAATAGATAAAAGAGGACTGTGGGAGTCTGGAGTGGAGGCCAGGCCGAGTCAACCATTCCATTCCGTTTCGGGCTACGCAATTTGCTGCTCGATTGTCTTGCCATCGTCCGGGGCGCTGGCGCTGGCGCTGTCTATCGTTTGGGAGGACGAGGACCCTTGAGCAGCACCATAATTCAATTGATTCTTGGCAACATTATACACAAATGGCCATTATGTTTATCGTTGCCAATAATGATCACGATGACGATGACGACTACTCGATGATGATGTTGATGGGAAGGAGGTTGGAGTAGGCCACCTGTTATCCTGTTAGCCCGCTTTTCAATAGCACTGCACTCGGCTTTCTAGGCAAATGAGCTCTACATGATTACGATTTGAGTTCAAGTGACTTGTCATTGACGTCATGGCAGAAAAAATCTGAAATAAAATCCGAGCTGAAAAGAAAAAGACACATGAATGTATCTCAGAGATAGACGGAGGAGCATCTTGGCCTTGCCTCTGCGGCAAGAGTTGGCGGCAGCTCTTGAAAAGAGCAGGCCTCGACTCGTACTGGCTGGTGCGGGCACTCAACCTTGTTAGCTTTTAGGATTCTGGTGGCACTGAACCGCAAATTCGCAATTAACTATTCGATTGAAACTGAAACGAGATACAAATGATTCGATGATGATGTATCTGCTGTGGCAGGATGGTTGATAGATGGAAAGACTGGTGCAGGAAGACGGTGAAAGTCAAAGAGAATAAGTACTCTGTTTCGTCCATCATTTTAATTAATAAATGGCAAAAACAATAAAATCATCATTTGACAAAAGGTTTCCATTTTGCGGGCAGGAAACACACAATCACAATCACAACACAACACAAACTCAAATAGAAATCCCAAAGACTTGCAACAAATTAATCAAGTGCCATCCGGACGGAGGGGACACTCAGGGATACGGTCACTGGATTCGGCATTTGCATAATGTCAAATGCACTTTGTTCCGGGTAGCGGGGCTCGACGTTTGTTTGTGAAAATATAAATTTTGACTTAAATCAACAATGGAGCCCCACTCTCCTTCTCCTTCTCCTTTTCCTGCGCTCTATGCGGCTTGACCTTTGGCCTTTTGATTGTTTTTATGGGGGAGGGAGGGGGAGGACATCATTTTACATATATTTGTCCGAAGAGTTATGCAAATGAAACAAACGAAAGTTCTTTGTCTTGTGGCCGAGGCAGGGGCCTTAAAGTTATTATTTGCTCTATTTATTATGCATTGAAGTTGCGTCAAGTGCAGAAGCTTTCTCTCTCTCCCTCTCCCTCACTCTCGCTCTCCGTCAAAGAGCCCATAATTATTATTTATATTTCGTCCTTAGGGGACAAGCCGCACACGCAAATTTAACCACATGAAACAGTCCGTGTAATTAAGAGTCCTGGCTACGGAAATAACACTTTCGAGCGGACAGTTCTGGGCCCAGGAATAGCTGACAATCGGCACGTGATTTGACTGTGAAAATTGTTCTCTGTTCCACATCCTGTCGTGGTCCTGTCTCCCCTCCAGGCTCCTGAACCTGTGTGACCCTCAGCTCCGCGCTGCGTGTGATTTAAAAATAATTAAACACGTACAGCGAATAACTGTAATTTCCAGGGTGGGGGTAGGGGGGCAGAAGCCGAAGTCGAAGCAAGAGGCCCAACAACAAGGACGGGCAGAATTTTAAAATTAACATTTTTATTTATTTGAAATCAACGCGTCGCCTCATTGAGTGCGCGGCGACCTTCTCTCTTCAGCTTCAGAATACATCGGAGTCGCGTTGTCCTGATTACGATGGGCATCACGGAATCGCATAAAATACCCTTTGGGGCATTGGCGAAATCCAAATCGCCAAACGGTGCCGCTTGATGGTGACGGTGGCAATTATTTACATAGCCACATATTGAGCAGACCTGGAGCCCTGTGGCGGAGCATTGGATTACGGGTGCTCGTAGCGGATTTCCATGTGAACGGACACCGCAACAATTCCATTCGCGTTCCATTCGCATTCGTGTGGCGATTCAGACAAAGCCATCCCACTAACTGGGATTTGGTGACTCTGAATTGTCGCTCCCTCTCTCACTGGATCTCTGGTGGGGCAGATGGTGAGTGTCCCTCCCACTTCGGATCTGTCTCTCCCACTCTTTGGATCTCCGGCGTGTGGCAGCCATACGATATGCCAAAGGACTCTAGAGGGAATTGCCCAAACAGAGAGACGTCTATTACTCGAGTATCCAACAGGCACAGGCATGCAACAGTTTGCTCAGCGATCCTGTCTCTCCTCCATCTGACTGGCTGACTGTCTGTCTGTCTGTCTGTCTGTCTGTCTGTCTGTCTGTCTGTTTGTGGCAGGGGAAGTCGCCCTCATTCCGACTTGGCCATTGTGGATGCAGCGTTTCCGGAGCACTGCGGCACTGGGCATTGTAACCGGCTTAAGCGTCGCAACGTTGCATTCATTTACATCAATGCTGTGGCCTCCTACACCGGAAGTGTCTCATTGACCGACCATCCGGCAGCATGCGCTGTCACGCCTCATGTCTTTACCCCACTGCTCCTCCAACTCCTGCTACACCTCCTTCTCCTTCTTCTCCTTTCCTGGCCGACCATCTGCCCCACTTCCTGCCCCAGCTCGTGCATTCAATGGGTGTTCGACCGACTGGGCTGTGGCTGTGTGTCTGTGTTTGTGTCTGGGTGTCTATTTGTGTACTCGACTGTCTGGGGCTCCACCTCCCTGTCAATGCTGTGCGACTAACGCATTAATCCTTGCTTTGATTTAAGTCCAATTTGTGTGACGCCCCAATGGGTGTGGCGTGGCGTGCAGTGGAGCCCATGTACTGCACATTGTTCTGCCCCTCCCCGAATAAGAGTGCATCTATCAGGACTCGACTCATAAGAGAACGAACAACAGGCTACACAGAGAGTCAACTAAACCCGTCTCTGGGAACAATGCAGTTTTTAATTCGAATGTTCGGACAATGCAATCCCCTGTCCACTCCATTAAATGAAGGCTCACCTGTCCCCCGATTGGCTCCTGATTTATCATGCATAGGCCTGATTAAATGATGCTTGGTGGCTTCTGTCCCCATCCAGGGCCAGTGTGGTCATCAATCCTTTTGCATTCAGCATTCCATTCCTTCTCTGTGAAATAAGTAAACTATTTTTCCCCATGCTGCTCCTGGGATGCAGCCAATCTAATCGACTCCGTGCGTGAGGTGCCCCGGGGCCTGGCTCAGCTGTGCGTCGCGAGCTCTTTGAGCGTCCTGCCACCTCAGCCCGTTCTCTCCCTGGACACGCAGCGGCCATTGTCCGCGTGGGCTAATGGCTGTCCCATCAGGACATTCACAGCCGGGTCCGGCCCCTCGGCGGTTCGCAGCTGGTCATTAAACGCAACGGTCTTTGCATCCAGCTGTTCATCAAGGTGTGTGGCCATTTCCGATGCTGTCAGTTGTTGTGATCACATCACGATTGGGGCTCGCGGGCGCACGACTCTATCTCGCTGCCTACCATATTCGGTATAAGGATGGCTATCGGCGGGAGTCCTGCCTGAGTGGCAGTCGCTGTTGACATGCCGTTCAATTTAGAGGACAACACTTCCTGTTCGCGGCTCCAGCTGGACGGCGATTGGCGGCATCCCGGCGCGAGGCCATCGCTTGAACGGAAAGGATCATTTAAGGTGGAAAACCACCGGCAGGATACCGGGAGGCATGTGATAGTCAGGTGATATCTTCTGTGCTCACACTTAAGTGTTGCAGTGATCCACGAGCCATAAAAGATGGCTATTTCCATTGCAGTTTCTTTCATCTAAGAATTTAATGGCTAACCTTTTTTGGCATTGAAATAATGGAGCCCAGGAGTCAATGTCCGCCACTGCCTCGAGGCAGACTGAGAGGACAGTAGTCTTTTTATCAACAAAAAATTGCAGAATTGTCATTGTGCAATGAAATATAAATGTCAAACAGATTTTTGAAATTGTATTTCGCTTTTACCGCCGCAGTCTGTCGCTGTGGCTGTGGCTTTGGCATCGTCTTTGGTTCTGCTGCAAACGGATGCGGAAATGATAATGCAGTTGACGTAGAGCCGCACATACTGACTGCGGAAAATATCTGCACAGTGTACACATCTGTCGGGACTGGCTGGCCAGCTCTATCCACTCTTTGGCGTGGCAGCCAGCAGTAGCCCCGCGGCGAATCCAGCCCGCAAACAGTATATGCGCTGACAGACCCACTGAAAGACAGACAGACGTGCACAGACAGGCACAGACAGACATACAGATGGATGGATACTCCTCATGCGGGAAGATACACTGAGGGACAGAGAGATAGTGGGCGTGGGCCCTCCAATTCAATCAAAGTTGCAGTGGCAGTGGGAGTGGCAGTATCAGTGCCAGTGCCAGTCTCTGTTGCAGTTGCATTTTCAGTGGCGGTTTCTGTTTCTGTCGTTTTATGTGAAATAATAAATTTCATCTTGAAATTGATGGACTTTTGATGGCTGTAAGCTTATAAAGAAGCGAGCTTCAAGAGAGCTTGTACACAGATGAGAGCTTTGAAACCAGTTTAAGCTTTCGGATGAGGTAAGTAAGTAAGCCGAGGCACGACCGCCGATCGTGCAAACAGAATTGATCGTGAAGACTCGGCGAACGGTTCACTCAGCGGACGGATTGAATCGATATAGTATAAATATATGCACAAAGAGAGCGAGAGGAAGAAAGAGAGAGGCAGACAGAGACAGCAACAGTGCGAAGAAAGAAAGAGCAACAAGTTTGCAAGTGGAAATTTTAATAACGAAATGCAGTGAATACCCGTCCCGTCCCGTCCCACGAATGCCACAAAACAAAAAGCCTAGACTTAAAATCAAAACCGAAATAAAATCAAAAATCAAAATCGTAGTTTAATCAAAAACTAATCGGAATCTGTGGCTCATTATGAGCACAAAAGACAGAAACAGTGTGAAACCAACGAAAATCTACCAGAGCGAGAGCCGAAAGAGCCACAAAAACATCGTGAATCTAGTTTACAATTTTTGAAAAATCAAAAAAAAAAAAGAAAAAATAATAAAAAATAAACAGCAACAAGTGAAAGAGCCGAACAGAGACGGATAGAGCGGGAGGTGCCGCCTGCCCCGACAGCCAGAACGAGACGGCCGAACGACAGACCGAGACTTTCGCAGTTGAGGTTGATTTTTGCATGCGAAAAGATACACATACAGCGCCACAGCACCAGCTAGAGCTACAGAGATACATCTGGAAGACAGCAGCCACAGTCCGGAGCCCGAAGAATTGTTATTATCCAGACAGGCAGACACACGCACCGAAATGGAGTACGAGAAAATGATGTACCTGGCAAATAGCAGTGAGGTAAGTGAAATATACACCGAGAAGATACTGTATCTGCATCTGTGGCTGTTGTTGTGTCTGTGTCTGTGTCTGTGTGGCGGAGAGTGGCACTTTTATGGGGGCCAGAGCACTAGAGCAACTACAGGCGGCCCGATGATAGCTGACAGTTGATAACCTTTTGCCAGCCCTTATCAGCCAGCGAAATGTATCTGTATCTCATCCAGTCCCTGCTGTGTAGCAGCAGCACTCGTACTCTGTGGTATGCTCGAGTTTTATGCGCAGTTTTTGATGGGGCCGCAGCTGCGTGTACGACGGCGTGTGCTGCTGATAGGAAAGCAACGAGTACGAGAGATGCCTTGCCTTGTGGCAGCGTTTTAATTAGCAGCCCGAATCGTGTGGGCGGCAGGCAGATGTATCTCGCGAATGCGTGTCACTGGGTGAGAGTCGCCGTGTCCCTCTCTGGCTTAAGGCCAGCTTGCTGCAACACTTGGCAGTTACATTTTCCCATTTGTCTTATGGCATTTCGCTTTAATTACAATAACAGCAATAGCAAAAGCAGTGGCTGCGGCAGTGGCAGCAGCACAGGCATTGGCACTGGCATTGGTACGAGTGGCAACAGCAGCAGCAACTTTCAAAAGATGCTTTCATTTTGCCAGAAGTGATTCTAAATGATTGTCAACTATGGCATGACAACAAACGGTGGCAGCCAGCAACAACAGCACCAGCACCAGCACCAGCAGAAGCACAAATAGTAAGAGCTGCCATGTCGGCCTGGCATTTCACTCGGAAAGTGCATTCCAATCCAGCAGATACAGCAGCTAAAGCAGCAGTAGCAGCAGCATCGGCAGCAGATACTTTTTGTTGGACCTACTTAGGCTGAAGTCTTTGACGTTTTGTCGCTGCTGCTGCTGCTGATGCTTCTGCCAGCATTGCAATAAAAGAAAATACTGTAGAAATGCAGAAGAAAAAAAAAACTTGTATTTACCATTTTTGATTGATTTGATGGAAATGTGTCTCCGCGCTGCAATGTTGCACCGCGTTGTTGCAGCTTCTCGCGCTTTTCCAATCGCTGACACAGAAGTTGACGCTGAACAGCATTTAGAAATGCACTTCAAGACGCTCGCTCTCGCTCTCCACCTGCCCCTGGGCGCCCCCTCTCCCTGGACTCTCAACCAGTCTCATTATATTTATGGACATAATAAAATAAATACTACTGCCAGCAATTATAAATGCAGGCGCTTTCGCAGATCAGATGAGATGAGATGAGATGGAATGGATGGGGATGGGGATGGGGATGGGGATGGAATGGGAGGATGGGGCCTGACATAAATACTTCAAGTTGTTCGTTTGGCTTCGCTTTCCCCCTTTCCCCCTTTTCATGGATGTATCTTTCCCTACAGAACAGCAAACAGCCCTTTGGCCATATATCTAATATTGTTGAGTATCAATCAAATGGATTATACAATAATCATCGTTGGGTTTGGCATTTTTTGGGGTGTGGCTTCTTAAGACAAGACCCATTGTGGTTGCAACAGCACTGCTGTTGTGGTTGTTGTTGCTGTTGCTGTTGCGGTCTCCCCAGCACAGCAGTATATCTCTGGAGCCCAGGCTTTTATGCAAATTGAAAATGACTTGGCTTTGCAACGTCTTTTGTACAGAATAATTGTCGGTGCGTGCCAAGCATAATGAGGAGTTTCAAACAGCACTAGAAGCAGCACTAGTGGCACTGGCAGAAGGGCTTGGAGTTCAGTGCCTAGACATTGCGAGTATCGTAAGCGCATTCCTGTGAAGAGTGTGGGATGGGCTACTCCGGACTCCAGACTGCGGACTGCGGACTCCGGCGACTCCCCCAAAGTGCCATTCATGTGATGTCTTGTCTGGGCTGCTTAGGGTCTGAGGCATGAAGCTTGACAAGTGAAAATCCTGCAAAAGACACTCAGTCCGATATGCGATTGAGTGCTAATTAAGGGGTTTCCCTACGGCATCCCGGAACATTCTAGATCGCAACATGTAATGAAATATATGCATATTTAAGAGAGATATGTACATGCACTATCCTATCCACTGTATGTATAATGAGGTGGGAAAAAAGAATCTAGCATAATTGAAATGTTGCACCCATTCCCACTGCACCACTGTAGCACTGTAGCACTGCTGTGTCAAGATATTTATTAACCTTGCAGCAGCAATTTATTTAGCATGAAATGTCGACAATTAAATGCAATGCAAATAGCTGAAGCAAACCGAAGAACGGCAAGAACTGCAAACAGAATTGCGCCGTCACGACAGGCAGACCAGCAGAGAGACAGACAGACCGACCGACCGACAGACAGAGCTACTAAAAGCCAACACCAAACACAGATACAATAATACAAAGATACAAAGATACAGAGAATAATGAAACAGAGAAACAGAAGGCAGAGGCGAACGATGTAAAAATAAGCAGAAATAAGTCTTGTCTCTTTGACAGCTTAACCCACGCATCCAAAGTGCTCGTACTTCGTAGATTGTACGTGGATATTGTTCGGGGGATTTGCTGGCTGTATATCTCTATATGTATCTGTATCTCTATCTCTATCTCTGGCTGTATCTATCTGTGTCTGTGTCTCTGTCTTCGTCCGTGGCTGTATCTGTGTGCTTATGCTGTTGACAGCGCACTTCAACATTGCCATAACCCCATTCCCCTCACCACACCATGCCACGCCACGCCACACACTCCTCCTCAGTATATCCAATCCCTAAGCCAGCGAATAAAGCGAACATTCATTAAACAAACAATTTGCGCCTGCGCATCTACCACCACAGGGGGAAAGAGACAGAGCCAGATGGATTTAGACAGAGAGGGAGAGGTGGCCGGTGAAGGGGTTTGGTCTTCGCCGCTCGTGGCTTTTGCGAGCTCCATTGCCATAATGCGATTAGAACAGATTACCTGACAATTGTCGCCAGAGACCCGGCAGAACCCAGAGACCAGAGCCCAGAACCCAATACCCGACCTGAACACCTGAGGAGGTTGAGGCTGCGGCTGTCGCTGTCGCTGTGGCTGTGGCCGTATCCGAGCGACACAGAGAGACACATTTGCATAGTTCGTTTTATTTGGTTCAAAGATACATATAAATTAATTTAAATACCACTTGGCCATAATTCAACATCAACATCAGCATGTGAACATGGTCATGTCAGGCCCCAAGGCTGTCCAGAGCTGTAATTGCAACTGTTCTGGACAGTCGCATAACTATATAGTATATCTATATCTATATCTTACCCTTCACTTCCACCAAGGGGGGGCAGGCAACCTTTTGTCTCCGACTCCGACATTAACTCCGACTCTGTGTCCCGCTCCAAGGTTTCCTTTGTCTATGTGCCTGGGCCGCGCCCCGTGTAAGATCATGTTATATGGTATACCCCACCCGTACCGTACCCATACGGGTATCTATATAGATCGGGTCGTGAGGCTCGCCCGAGGCGTTGGCCATTTCGTTCGATTTATTATCTGCTGTCGGCGCACCACACACGACCATAAGCTGACTGCTATTCGTATCTGATCGCCGCTTTTAATAATGCTTTTTGTCGTTCTTAAAACGTAAACTTGATTTTATTATTAGGCAAAGAGACACACACAAATACACGCAATTTACACACCACATGAGGAGAATATGCCACATTCTTGGCAATGGCTTTGACTTGTTCTAATGAATTTCGTTTGACGTCGGCCCCAGCCACAAAAATCATACATAAAACTCGTTTTTCTCTTGCCTTTTGCCCGCCTGCTATTTCCAATTTATTACTTTTTCTCTCCCTCTCGCTCTCCCTGTCTCGCATTGCTAAATATTATTGTTGCTAATTTTTAGGTAAGGGTTTTTTCAATTTGGGGGAAATTCAATCCAATTCAAATCCTCACCACTAACTCTGAGAGTCGTGTTTTCGTCTTGGAATTCGGTTTGGACATCGCTTTGGCCTCAAATTTGATTCGTTTTCTTTTGTTTCATCTGCTGGAAACATGATTTTATCGCCTGCTGGAATTTTAATATTTATTTTGTTATATCTCGTCAGTTTTTTTTCTGCTGGAAGTGTGGTGTGTGGCATGAGTCAGGCTCTGATGTTTCTGTGGCATTTTTGGGATGCCCGAAATTGCCATAATTTAATTGGCATTCGATTCTTTTGGTGCCAGTGCGTGTCAGGGCCACACTCGTTTATGAATTTTGTGGTTAACATATGTATACTTTTTTCTCCATCAGATTTGATATTTAATCATTAGTCAGGGGTAGTCGGTAGTCCGGTAGCCGATTGCTTTCCGCGATAAGAGCGCTTTTCATCGAATCGAATGAGTGTTGGATCCTGTTGTTGGGGCCAAGTGGAAAGCCCAGAGGAACACGGAATGCACTCCCATTCGTATTCACATTCACATTCCCATTCATACCCACACTCTCTGTAGTCCGACACCCACGAGTGTACGAGTGTATCGCTGTTCTGTGACTTTTGTAAACGGTTTTATAAATAGAACCGCCGGCTATTGTGGTTTTTCTATAAATACTACTACGTACAACCCAACACCTGACAATCGTTTTGGCCATATCCTAATTGCTGGCCCCAGCCCCATTGTTCCCTTGTACCGGCATTGACACCACACCACAGCGAAGTGGCCAAGTGGCCAAGTGGCCAAGTGGCTGGAACTCCACCGTGATCGATGGCCAAACACGCGAAAACAAACGCTCGCCGGCTCAGAGAACCCACCAATTTGTGACGTTGATTGGGTCGACTCAATGGTGCGGGTGTTGGTGGCTGTGCGGCGGCTATTTATATGTCGATATATGATTCCTAAATGACCATTGCAACGCCCCGTACCCCCTGTCAGCCCATGACAAAGGCGTTTATTGACAGCCGACGCCCGATGTCCAATGTCCGACATGCCAATGAAATATTAGCGGCCGAAAGCGTTTGGCTAAGCGGGCCACAAAAACAGCCTTTTGTCCGCGTTTCGCCCCATTCCCTCTTTCGGGCAATTGGAAACTCCAATTCTCGTCAGAACTCTGTTTGTTGAGCTTGTTTTTCAGTATTTCTCTGTATAAAAAAAGATTTAATTAAAATTGACGAGTACACCACATGATTCAGATCGTTGAGATCTTTTGTTCAAAGTCAGCAGGAAATCCATATACATACGATACAATATTGTCTATAGGATCCATGTGGAATAACCCGAGTGATCTAATTCGTACAGCTGTGAGGAAGTGGGTCTCTCTGTATCGGTCTCTGTATCGGCCTCTGCCTTCGGTCTCGGTGTAGGTCTAGGGGTAAAATGTAAAGATATTGCAAATAAATCAAAAGTCCGGTCGAAATGCAAATTTCTGTTTCACTTTTATTGCCTCAGCGCCGAGCCGAGAGAATATTTATAGACATTATTTGGCATCACCTATTTGGAGAGCTCTCTTCGTTTCGTTCTGTCCTTCTCCTTAATGGCCAAACCCTGGCTCAAATTGAGTTGTAAGACCTTTTTTCCTGCAAAATTTATGGCTGCAACCCATGGGGTGGGCGACGAGAGGAGGGGAACTGTTAATAGTCATAAAATGTAATGTGAAAATAGTTTATTAAAAAATGCATAGAAAATGTTGTGCCTAGTCAGGCAGATGTAATAACTAGTTGACATTTTAGTGGCCAGAGTCGCCCTTAATGGTCCATAAATGGTAGATGGGCGAGAGAGCCCCTGGCTATGTCTCTGTATCTGGCCACTCAATTTATTATGCAGTTTTTGCCAGGCAATCACATATTTTATGGCTTTTCGACTGAGTCATCGGCTGCAGCCAGCAGCCAGCAGCCAGCTGCTTCTGCTGCCGCTGCTGAATCATGTACTATGTCCTCGGTTTTCCTCGGGGACTCTTTTGGACTTGAGAGTTGCGGTGAAGTACCCTAGGCTAAGTACAGGCCTGAGATACTTGCTCTAATAATATGGAGATTACGCAAGGGGTATAGACAGGCAGTCCGCACAGCGTAATCGAAATGTTTGCGCTGGCAATTAGCGGGCAGGCGAGAAAAGCGAACTCAAATCACTCATACGCCCCGGTGCCCAACAATTAAAACATAGAAATTGTAATAACATCGTGACTAGTTAGAATTATGGCGAACGTCGAACAGGCAATAATGGCAGCCATCCCTTCAGCACACCCCTCACCTGCCCCTGGTGCCCCTTCTGCCTGGTGCCCACCAACCGAAAGTACTTGTCGGAAAATCCAGTATGAGCTGTTTTATTAATAATAAGCGCACAGCGCATAGCCATAGCGTATACATGCCCCCTCTGCCACCACAGCCCGCAGCCCGCAGCCTTCCTCTGCCTACGAATGGCAACCTTCTTCTGCCTCTCCCCCCCCTTGCAGCATTGTGACACACCGAGCTCCCCAGAGATACGAGCAGATAGCTGCTGCATCGAGTTGCTTAATGAAAAACCAGTTTCTCCGAGGTAGAAATTGGTAGCGCATTCGGGCCATATATTAGCATTGCCTTCTTTTGTGACGCTGTGTGCAAATGAATATCAAACAAATAGTATGAAACAAAACCAGAAGAAAAGGCTAACATTGCGAAGGTGAAACTAGAGATACCCTAAGAGATCTCTCGTTCTTTAAAGCAGAACGGGATTCAAAATCATTTGTATCTTTTTTAAAGTATTGTGAAAGTATACAAGAACCAACCAATAAGGGATTTTACGGATATAGGAAGACTGAAGAGCGAAATGATTAGGACTAGGCTCTCGATGGACCATCCATAATAAATTTATTCTTTAGGAAAATGATAGGCTTTAAAAGCATCCCCTCAAAGGTAGGGTAAACCCTAGCAATAGTCTACAAATTATAATGAAAAAGTGAGAAAGAGAGAGGGGGAGAAGTAGAGCGAAAGAGAAGAAAAAAGAAAAAACAGACTACGAGAGGGAGGAAGGTAGTAAAACAGACAGAAATCTCTGTGAGAAGCAAGCGACAAGAGAACGCTTTGATTTCGATCTAGTCATTGTTTGGGCTGCTCATAAAAAAAGCACACAAACAAAACACCGAGCCCTGCCCCCACATCTCGCCCTGCTCTAGTCTTGGTGCTCCCCCTTTGGCCAGACCACGCCCCCCTCCACAGCTGGGGCTTTGGGTTTTTTTGCAGTTGGCTTTTGTGGCGTCACAGGCCAAGTCGCAGCTTGATAAATGAGAAAATCAATGCCACTCGAAGCTTAGTACGTCTCCTGCTGTTGTCTGGTCGGTTTCGCATTCACATCCCGCCATTGCCATTGCCGTTGCCGTTGCCTTTGCAGACCTTTGCCCGCCCTTTGGAAATCTTAAGGTTAAGCACCGACAATCAACAATTAACAATCGACAATCGACAACCGAATCAGAATAGCAGTCAGAATCCGAAAAATTTCCATACTTTTTTTGGCGCTCGCCAGGTATGTCGTCTGGTGATGCTAGTACGAATTAGAAAGGCGGCAGCCACAGCCACAGCTACAGCCACAGCCACACGCTCGTAAAACCAGTGGAGAAGTAACAGAAATTCATTAACTTTCATGGGCGTGATAATTAAGACAGGTGGCCGCAATTTGGCAGCTCCGATCGGTTGATAATTGCTGATGCTCGAAATTCGCCATCGAGGAAAGATGGCGCCGTTTAGCAGACAGAAGATGTCCCTAATCCATTTACTAATTCGTGATTCTTTTCTTTTTTTCGCCCTAACAGATGCCGCACAGTCCCCATCTGAAGCCACAACCGTTCCAGGCCCTCACGCCGCCGGACCAGTACTCCGCCTATGCGGATAACTTTGATCTGTCGCTGCTGCCACAGGACGCCGGCATACCCACCACGGTGTACCAGTACAACGCGCCACAGATTAAGATTGAATGCGCCTGGGACTGCCCCACGGATAACCAGCAGCAGCAGCAACCGGCACTGGCCTATGCCTCCTCCGGCCATCAGTTGATCCCTCCTCCTGCCTATCCACACAGCGTGTACCCCTCTCCCCAGTCGTCGCCCCTTCAGTCGGAGTTCGCCTCATTCGGCGGGGGCTACGGCAAGTTCCACGGCAGCTACGACTGTCTGAGCAGCCCCTCGCCCTCGTTGGATGCCTCGAGCATCAAGCAGGAGCTGCACATCCTGCCGCCCTCCCCGCCAGAGTCCAACTGTGAGACACCCTCGCCGCGCTCCTCCTGCAGCGAGAGCATTAAGGCGGAGCCGCTGGACTCGGACATTGAGAGCTTCATCGACCTGAACGCCCTGCTGCAGCAGCAGCAGGCGCAGCCGGACACCAAGCCCGACCATCAGCTGTTGCGCGAGTGCTTGGAGGACACGACGTTCCAGAAGAAGCACAACCTGCGGCCACTGGCCCTGGAATCCTTCATCGGCGGCTTGGCCGAGGTGCGCGGGGACTTTGAGCCTGTCATTTCGCTGGCGCTGGAGCATGCCAAGCGGGAAGCTGATGCCATCTGTATGGAGCTGCAAATATCGCAGGGTGAGTCTCCATGGCTTCTCTGCTTTGGTATGCAGATTTCCTCATGGTCCTTCATGACTATTTGCAGATCCAAATGCATGGACACCCTCGCAAGTACACGCATGGCTACGATCCACCCTGGCACAGTTCAAGCTGCCGCCGGCCGCCAATTTGGAGCTGAAGTTCTCCGAAGACGGCGCCGCATTGGCATTACTCAGCGAAGAGGAATTCGTGCGTCGACTGCCAGAGGTAAGTAGTGGTCGACCATCATTATGGTGCACCATGTACATCATTCGTAGTGGAAGTAGTAGTAGTCTGTAGAGGCTATGACTTAACTGGGCAAGGCGAGTGCCAAAATAACTATCTATTACAAAATTGATCAGCACAAAGCACTGGCCGATACCATGTAAAACAATCACACAATGCAAATGGCAATAGCAAAAGGCAAAAGGCCCAGAGCAGAAAGCAGAAAGCCCAATCAATGCGATTGAATCGAATTTCGCGTACGAATCGAAATGGAATGGAATGGAATGGACAAAACAACAACACAACCGAAAACAACGCAAACAAAACAAAATACAACGAAACGAAAACTAAAACGAAACAAGTTTCGTAACTGGTGTTGACGTCATGGCTCTTGGCCGGGCCAGGCCAGGCCAGGCCAGAGCGGGCCAGAAGAGCAGGCCAAGACAGCAGGCCACAGCACAGCAGAGCAGAGCAGAGCAGGCCACGGGAGCTTACATACTTGAATAAGCCAAAATCAGAAATCAGAAAGCAAAACGCAAAACTCAAAAACAACTCAAAACCCCGAAACCTGTTGCCGCCAACAATTAGGCAAAGGCTTGCGGCATCTACTCTACGAGTAAAAACTACTCCACATGCGCTCTCCAGAGCCTCAGTCCAGTCCGAAGACTTTTGCCAAAAATATATCAATGATTACATTCGTTTAGGCCCAGGCCGATGGTGCTGCTACTGCAGCAAAAACGAAACAAAAGACTTGGGCAACGAACGTGATCGGGAGAGCGCGAGCGAAATGAAATCGGAGTGGAGACAAGCCCAGCCAAGCCAAGCAGTCGACAAAATTAGTAACCGTGGTCATGGCTGTAAAGGTGAAAGAATGTGTGAAGGTTGTTTGGTGAAACTGCAGCACTTGGATGGATGATTACGAGCCAACCATCGCGTAGAGGCTCAGATGACTATGGCTATGGCTTTCTGTCTCTGTCTCTGTCGCTGGCTCTGGCTCTGGCTCTGGGGACTGGCAGCAGCAGCACTCCACTCCACTCGAACTGAGCCAACGACCAGCAACGACATTGCAAGGTGAAAGTAAGTCGTTGTCGCAGTCTCATGTGGTTTTTGTTGCTGCTGTTGCTAGTTGATGTTGCTGTTTGCTGTTTGCTGCTTGCTGCTGTAGATGTTGCTTGTCTGTTGTCTGCGGAGGCTGCCTCCGCAGACTGCAGAGACTGCAGATTTATTTATGCACTTGGATAGCATAAGAATTTCCAATTGATAGGCCGTCTAGATTGAGATCTAGCCGGGATTAAGGCTCTATGCTCTGTCTGTTTGTCTGTCTCTCTGTCTGTGTGCCCATTCAAAATGTATCACTTTCGGCTTTCTTTTCCTTCCAGAGCGGGAGCACACTACATGCCCAATTGGAGATATGGAAGATGGCCTATGCCGATCAGCCGAACAGCCAGATCCAGCACCAGCACCAGCAGCAGCAGCAGCCAGGCCTCGATCTGTGGCCGCCAGCTAGCTATCCGATGCTGAACCTGGACGACTACAATGAGGACAGCGAAGGTGCGTGGGGGATTGGGGATTCTTCGGCGGTTCTCTTGAGATTAATTTCTTTTCGTTTCGTTTCGTTTCTCCCCTTAACAGATGATGAGGATATGGAGGTGGAAGCCACAGTAACCCCCACACCCACGCCAACGCCCACTTCAACTTCCACTTCCACTCCCGCAGTGACAGCTGCCACACCGACTTCCACTCCTGTGAAGCGCACTAGTGGCGGACGCACTGGCGGCGGCTCCCACATCCATCTGTGGCAGTTCCTCAAGGAGCTGCTGGCATCGCCGCAGGTGAACGGCACAGCCATACGCTGGATCGACCGCACCAAGGGCATCTTCAAGATCGAGGACTCGGTGCGGGTGGCCAAGTTGTGGGGTCGCCGCAAGAACCGCCCGGCCATGAACTACGACAAGCTGTCCCGCTCCATCCGGCAGTACTACAAGAAGGGCATCATGAAGAAAACGGAGCGGTCGCAGCGTCTGGTCTACCAGTTCTGCCATCCCTACAACCAGTAGAGAGGAGGAGGACTAGGACTCTTATCCAGATCGCGTAGTTCTAAGGGTATTTATTTGCTAGCATAGCCACCTCTCCCACCAGTCCCACCTGTCCCAATCCAAGTCCCATTCCACACTCCGACTATGCCCGACTAGCCTTGTGGGTTTAGCGGGTCCTAGTTCTTGTACATACACAATCTTTATAGCGCACGAAGGTAAGTTCGTGCATCGATTAAGTTTGGCTCTAGCTCGTAGGCTAAAACCATTGCCCCCATGGCGAAGGTAAGTTCGTCGAAGGGCACAGGTTTTAAGCGCAATCCATCATAATGTAAATCTAATCTTGCACTGCGGCTGGGCGTGGCTGTTGGCCCATCGCTGCAGGCATATGTTTGACTTACTGCCGACATCTTTATTCAAATGCTGCCTGCCCATGCAGTGGTTAATCCTGCACCCACATGTGTGTGTGTGTGTGTTGCTGCTGCCAGGAGGAGTGGCGTCAAAAGTGAGGGACCACCATTAGTAGCCTGAGGCGAAACTTGGTTAAAGGTCGAGTCACTAGACGCTCCCTCTCAGAGGCACTGCAACAACACCAGACACTGGTGCAGCCACTGTTGGCGGCATGAAGGTGTTGCGGTAATTTTAGGAACCATATATCTATGATATATCAAAAGTAAGTTCTATGAACAACTTAATAACCGAACAAAATGTTAATACTAGACTCTAAGGCAAACGATTAGTCGTATAGGACTCCTTGAAAGTTTTTTCTCTTCAAAACAGAACCCGGGAAAAGTTAAAAAACTTTCGACCCTCCCCCTAGGCTTAGGCGTTATGCGTTATGCTCTCTGAACAAATATCGAATATCGAATATCAATTATTTATTCTGTACTCTGGTGGTGGATCAATTTAGACAGTAATTTTGTTAATTTTATTACAATTATATTTTCTGCAGTTTGCATATGAGTTTTCAGTTTCCATAGTTTCCAGTTTCGTGTCTGTGTCGGGTATTCAGTTTAAGTTAATTTTAGTATTTATTTGTGGCCAAAAAGTCAATTATTTGGCTTTTATTTGCATTCGCCATCGAAAACGAAAGGTGAGCAGTGTTAACGTTAATGCTGGCGGTTTTTAATTGAATTATGCAATGGGCAATCGACTCGGCTCGGATTTGGCTTATTTGCTAACCAAACAGCAACATATTTATCTGCATATTACACATATAATTAGGATACTGTACGAGTACTCTCTGCGCGGCAGCTACATAGATTTATGCACTTTACACTTTTTGCGACACACCACTTATTTATTTATTTATTTATTCAACTAACATATTGTCATGCCGATACACTATCCGATAATAAAAAGTCACACAAAAAGAACAATTGTTTAAATATTTACTTTAAAGCTTTAAATGAGAGACGCCACTGGCATTCCCCTTTGGGAAAATGAAACTAAAAGCGATGGAAATTGTGAAGTGCGACTGCTGCTGCACGACAGCCGTTCCACCGGCAAATATATTTTGATAGCAATGACTTGAGTACACCATCAAGTGTCCCATTCGCCACCAGCAGAAGCGGATCCCAGTGCAGCGGTGCATCTAAAGACCAAAGACTCAAAAATCTAAGGCACTGGACAGCCAGAAACCCATTCAATTTTTCGTCCGATGGACAAAAAAAATAGTTTTCTATTCTCTAAAAACCATCGGTGGAAAATGTATGGTATAACTGCAGGGCTGATGCGGTGGACTAGCACTTATCCCCCCGGCTGGTTGCTGATGCGACTCCCGCTGGTGCGGCATTCATCCCCATGGATGGCTCCTGTTGAGGGGCACTCACGTGCAGCGAGCAAAACATTTTAGATTGCCCTGTCAGTCAGTCATTCAGTCAGTGGGCCAGTGGGCGGGCGGTGGGTGTACGTACTGTGTGGGCCTCCTGGTGGCACTCGTGTGTGACCGTGTCTAGTTCCAATTTTCAATCAGCGAAAACTATTTCGAGCCACTGCCACCGAGCCATTGGACAGTCAACGACGTAATCGAGGAGCCATCGATTGGAGCTGCAACATATCCATTCAAATTCTGAATCCGCATACAGAGAGATGGGTGTAAAGTCCAGGGCAGGGGCAGGGGCAGGGGCACGGGCAGTGGCACGGGCAGGATTATCATTGCCTTATACTTAATAAGCAGGAGGAGATGCTGCCTTGGCTGAGATTAATTTAATGCGCCCGAATAAGTTTATCGTCTTTGTTGTCCCAGCTCCACTTCCACTGGCATCTCCAGCCTCAGCCCCGTCTTCATTTAAATACTAAATCGCATTAAATGCCATCAAGTGGAAAATTCCCAAAAGCAATAAATTCATTCCTTGCAGGGCTCGAGTTCCTTCTCGGCACCGCCTATGCCTGCTCTCACTTTTTCAGTGAAAGCTTCACGTTCGACAATATTTGCGTTATGGCGCTAGGGCGCTCCGCTCCACCAAAAGAGGACCATGTCCTAGCCGGGAATCGGGAATTGGGAGCCACTACGGTGAGCTGTTTATCCTTCGCCGGCAGCCTTGGCTTTCTCTTTGTCTTTGGCCTTTGTCAGGGATTGGAACTGGTATTGGAACTGGGCTAGGGAGCGGTATGGGCTCTGGTGTCTGGGTATTTTTGCCCTCATCATATTTCTTCGTTTCGTTTCGTTTCGTTTGGTTTCTTTTCTTCTTTTCGTCTCAGGGCGGCTGTGTGCCTGTGCGTGCCGCTGGGAAACTACAAAGACAAATATTTAATTGAATTAGTGCAGCAAGCGTTAAGCATTGTCAGACAATGTGCAAGGCCACGCCCAACGACCAGGGTTCCCTGAAATTGCTCCTGGCTTGCCTCAAATTTGAATTTTGTATTTCGTATTTGATTCATCAACAGGTTCGTTACCGCCCGAAGGCTTAAGATATTCAGCAATTTGTGGATATATGTATCTCCGCCCAATTTCCATCCCCCTTTTGTCTGCATAAACGTTCAACTGTATAGCTGCTCACCTGACAAACCATTCTTATGTTAATTTGTCAATTCCAAAAGGTTGTTACCTCAGCGGCAGCAGCCCTACCATTTTCTACATATTTTGATAATTACGCTTCGGCTGTCAATTGACCCGCCCAGACCCCCGAGGCAGCCCGCCAGCCAACCAGCCAGCCAGCAGCTAGTTAGCCCTTTTTATAAGCCTTAGCCCTTTTGAGCCTGCCCATTAGACGTTTAAAAATAACCACCCCTTACCTGCGACCAATTCCTGCCCCTCACCACATCCATCAGTCACCCCATCATCCCTCTGGGCCATAAACAGAGACATTTTGCGCGCTTTGTTGAGCTTTCCACCTCCGCTGACGGCACCTTTAATTAGCATAATTGGTGACATTGAAGCGCGGACATAGGACCAGCACCAGCACCAGGACCTGGAGGAGGATCTGGAGGAGGACCAGAACCAGAACCCATCAAAGCATGATGAATGTGCTCAAAAGGCAAGCCGCAGCGGAACCAAAAATATTCGCTGCTAATTAAATGTCGGGCCTAATCAATTAAGATTGCCCTTCCGCGCCCTAACCCCATGCCATTTTGGGCATGCGGTTGAATTGAGTGGCCGTGCCGTGCCCCCCCAGATAAAAAGTTTCGGTTTAAATTTTACATTAGACTAATTCAAGACATAAATTGTCGGGCGTCTGGGCTGCATACCAAAGCTCTTCCAAAGAAACTCAAAAGGCACAAGCCGCTCATCCTCCTCATCCTTAGACCCATCCTTAGACCCATCCTTAGACCCTGAGCCCACAGGTAAAATTGAAAATTCAATTTAAATTGATGTCGACTGGCCAAGAATACCAGACTAGACCAGACCCAAGTCTCAGCAGAACCAGGACCAGGGCAAGCGGAGGACTGTGTGGCATGGCATTTAAGTTAAGTACCTTGGCCACACTCTCCCACAACCCACATGGACGGACGGACGGACGGTCGGATGAATGGACGGATGGACAGATAGAGAGAGGGCCTTTGTGGGAACGTAAAATAGCTAACAAGTGGCCGGGCATTTGGGTCCTACGACGACCACACGGCCATGACTGCCCATGACTGCGAAATCAGCGCGGGCAGCCGCCAAAACAGCAACATTTTTAAAAATTCATAAAAAAAGGTAGCAGCCAGGCAGACAGAGGCAGAGAGGGCGAAAGAGGGGAGGGGGAGACGGGATGTGGCAAGACCAGTGGGAGTAGACACCTTTCGGTTGTTTTGTGCTTGTGGTTGTGTTTCCGGCCACCTTCAATTTTTCAAGTGTGTTTCAATTTTTGCACTTGCCACTTTTGCTCAAGACCCTGCCCACCGCACCCCAGCACCCTCTAACCGCCACTGCCCCCACCAGCACCACACGGAGCACCGCTCTCACCTTCTTGGCAACCGCCTGTCGGTGGTAATGAAATTACAATTTTTATAGGCCAAGTCATGAAAAATAAATGAGACTTAAGCACATTGCCCGGCACTGACTAAACTGTTTGGCGCTTCTGTGGCACGAGCACGAGGAGGAGGATGCCAAAGGGAAAAGCAGGGGGGAAAAACTCCATTGGAAATGGCCAAAACATATTCGTAGGCCATTCAACAAGTCCGAGTCTTGCCGTTTCGAGGCCTACGCATGGGCATAAATATCCGCCCGGAATGGGGCAGAGGCAATCCTGGTTCTGATCAAACGAAAACTAGAATTCAAACCTTTTTTTGGAGATACCCTTTAGAGGTGGTATCATAGGGCATACAAGGCTCTACCACATCGTGCTTTTACATCGGTTTCGGAGGTATAACTATAGTTCATACCATCTTGGGCCCTTGGACCAAATTTCAATTAACTTAAAAAAGTTTCAAACTCAGTTTCAGCTTATTTCGGAGCAGCGTTTGAGGCAAGCAAAGGCAGATCTCGGGATGGGAGACGGAGTCGAGTCCCTTTTAACAGTTTTCCCTTTTTCCACACGAAATGAAATTTATGCTGCCAGCATATCGTTGCCTACTTCGGGGCGCATTTCTGTGGCACCGCCCGAGTCTCTGTGTGTGCGTTTGTATGTTTGCGGCTGAGTGGCAACATTTAGTTTAGTTAAGTGCATTTGATTTGGCAGGCAAATCCCCACGGGGCGAGTTAGCAGCATGGAATTGCAATTTATTGAATTATCCCAACCGAATGGTACATATGTACCAGGGACAATAATCGCATTATGCGGCTCGGCTCTGGGCGGCGACAGCGGCAGCGGCAAGTCCATTACACACACTCGGCAGAGCAGTTCAATGGGTCATCGACCTCGGATGCCAATTGAATTTTCGGTGCAGAGAAATTCCTTTCACGGTCCCGGTCACGTCGCCATTGTTCGGGCGTTTTTAATTAGTTGTGTCGCCTGGCATACGGCCTGGCCGCCAACTCGTCCTGGCTTCGCATTTAATTTAATCACGCACTGTATGCGTCAAATATTTGAGTTGGCAAAGCATTGGAAATTGCGTATGCGCCATGTGGGGCAACGGCAAACGCCCACAATCCACAGCCCTCCATTCCTGGCGCTGAGAGATTGTCTGACGAGCTCCGGCTCTTCGGGGATCGAGCGGGCTGGCTGAGCAAATGTGTTGACGCATTTTACAATACACAATGGGACCGACACATACCTACAGCTGTGCTCCTGTGTAATTATGAATTCCATAATCATTTCGTTAATATTCGCAGCACGCGACTCTGCCGGTCGCTTAGGATAAAATGCAGTGGAAGCAGACGCTCAAAGGCCTCCAAAGGAGGCCCAATCCCCCGGCCTCCGGTTGCTCGACTGCTGGCTTATCCAGCGGGGAATTAAAAATAATTTGGGTCGTTTTGGTGTTATGTTCAGCTCTGGCGGAAGGAAGCAGACTCCTCTGCCATTTGTTGTTTGCCTTTTGCTGGCAGGTGTTTGCCATGGGCCCTGGTTCTGGTCCTGGTCCTGGTCCTGGTCCTGTTCCTGCTTCGTGCGTGTGTTGATTATGGCTTAATTTTTAGTAATTATATTAACATGATTAAATTTTGTTTTGATTTTCCAGGGCACACACAGGGAGCACAGGGTGAGGCAATGGGCAATTAGACTGACAAGCTGTGTGCCGGAAATTCGGCCCGATTGTGGCCAAAATATATATACCCATATTGGAAATTCATTCGGTTCCTAATTAGCCCGAGTAATCCAATATTGAATTTGAGCACATTCTTGTATTTCGCATATCGTATGCCCTATAAAATGGGTGTAATGATTTTGATGGTAGGTTTGAAACGATGCCAACAATCCTTTACAGGTTCGTGCCAGTGAAAAACTCCTTCAGAACACAAGAAAATTGTCTTTGTTTCAACAAAGTATCGTATCAAAATTAATA